CCAGATTCCCTCCACCCTCTGGGTGAAAAAAAATGTTTCCTCATATCTCTCTAAATCTCATACTCCTTACCTTAAATCTACACCCCTGGTCAGCCAAAACTGCTCACTACTCCAGCAGCATCCCGGAATGCCTCTTTATTATCAAAAAAACCTCTTAAACCTGTTTCTCCTGTTTAGGACTCAACTCGAACAATCTGTAAGGCACTTGTGAACTTCCTTTATTGCTTTATTAGTCCCTTTCCCTTGCCAAATTCTCTTAAGATTTCTTCTTGTCCTATTCCTGAACTTTCATATTTCTCTAGCTTTTCTCCTATTTCTTCTAATTCCCTCTCTAAGCCATTGATTTAATTTGATTTATTGTCATGTGTACCTAAGTACAGCAAAAAGCTTTGGTTTATGAGCAGTACAGGCAGATCATAGTAAGCAATGATATACAGATCATAGGGTGAAAAAAAAACTTGGACAGACACATACGAGTTACATCGTACAGGAGGTGCGCTACGCAAGTTCAATATTGGCACAATCAGCATTATTGAAGTTAGAGAGTCCATTCATCAGTCTAATAATGGCAGGGAAGAAGCTGTTCTTGAAACTGCTGGTACATGTGTTCAAGCTTCTGTATCTTCTGCCTGATGAAAGAGGTTGTAGGAGGTCATTACCGGAGTGGGATGGATCTTTGATGATGTTGGCAGCCTTTCCGGGGCAACAAACTGTGTAACTGGAGTCCATGGATGGAAGGTTGGCTTCTTTGATGGTCTGGGCCGTGCACACAACGTTCTATAGTTTTTTATGGTCCTGGGCAGAGCAGTTGCCATACCAGGCCGTTACGCACCCGGACAGTATGCTTTCAGTGGTGCACCTCTAAAATTTGGTGAAGGTCCTTGTGGACATGCCAAATTTCCTGAGTAGCCTGATAGAGAAGAGGCATTGTCAGGCCTTCTTGACCACTGCATCTACATGGGGAATCTAGGACAGGTCGTCAATTATCGTCTCTCCTAGGAACTTGACGCTCCCCACTCTCTCAACCTCAGCTTCTTTGATGTAGATGGGAGCATGTTCTCCTCCTTTCTTTCTGAAGTTAATGATCAGTTCTTTATATTTTCTGTGGTTGAGAAAGAGGTTGTTATCATCGCACCGCGTAACCAAGTCATCTGTCTTCTTTCCGTATTTTGCCTTGTTGTTGTTTGATATCCGTCCTATCACGGTGGTGTTGTCAGCAAACTTGTAGATGGTATTTGTTTGGAATTTGGCAACACAGTCGTGGGTGTAGAGGAAGTATAGCAGGGGGCTGAGAACGCATCCCTGGGGGGCTCCAGTGTTGAGTGTTATCGTGGAGGATGTGCTGTTGTCTATCTTGATTGTGGTCTGTGATTGCAGAAAGCTGAGGATCCAGTTGCAGGGCGAGGCCGAGACTCAGGTTTCAGAGTTTTGAGATCAGTCTGGAGGGGATAATGGTATTGAAGGTGGAGCTGTAGTCGATGAGCAGGAGTCTGACATAGGTGGCCCTGTGGTCCAGATGTTTCAGGGATGAGTGCAGGGCTAGGGAATTGGTGTCCACTGTGGACCTGTTACATTAGAAGGCAAATTATGGAGGATTGAGGCAGGCTGGGAGATTAGAGTTCATGTGGGCCATGACTAGCCTCTCGAAGCACTTCAAGATTATGGAGGTCAGAGGCACTGGGCAATAGTCATTAAGATATGCTGTGTGTGCTTTTTTTGGTACTGAGATGATGGTGGTCTTCTTGAAGCAGGTGGGGACTATAGCTTGTAGGAGGGAGAGGTTGACAATACCTCCATCATGAGGCCCGCACAGGATCTAAGTGCTTGGCCGGAGACTCCATCCAGGCCCATTGCTTTCCTTGGGTTGACTCCGAAGAAAACCGATCTGCTGTCTGCAGTGGTGACAGCGGGCACAGGTGTGTCTGTAGCTGGTGACACTGTGCCGCTGGCATTCTGCTCAAACCAAATGTAGAAAACATTGAGCGCATCAGGAAGGGACGTGTCTTTGTCTACTATCTTGCTCTGCTTCATTTTGTATTCTGTAATGTTGTTTAGGCCTTGCTACAGGTGGAGGAAGTCTACGGTTGGTTTGAGCCTCTAACTTGGTCTAGTACTGCCTCTTGGGATCCCTGATAGCTTTTCAGAGGTCATGTCAATGTCAATATGTCAGTACAACTCCGTTCTGTTTTCTTGATGTAAATGCTATAAAATTATGAATACTCATTTTTTTTCCTGGCATCTATACTGTCTGAAACACTAACACCTGTGCTCATTTTGAGTATTGTTCTGTTACTTTCAGATCCAATGTTATCACTCTCTTCCTCCAAAAATAACCTAACCCTCAATCTTTGCAAATGCGTGTACCATCACAATAGCAACAAAACAACAACTTGAATTTACATATAAGTTTTAATTTAGTAAAATATTCCAGGGGGCTACATAGGAGTCGTATCGAGCAAAATTTAAAATGAAATCACATAAGGAAATATTAGAGACAACAAGGTGCAGGGTTGGATGAACACAGCAGGCCAAGCAGCATCATAGGAGCAGAGAGGCTGACGTTTCGGGTGAAGGGTCTAGGCCCGAAACGTCAGCCTCTCTGCTCCTATGATGCTGCTTGGCCTGCTGTGTTCATCCAGCCCTGCACCTTGTTGTCTCGGATTCTCCAGCATCTGCAGTTCCTACTATCTCTAAGGAAATATTAGGACAGTTTACCAAAAGCTTGGTCAAAGTGGTAGGTTTTAAGGAGTATTTCAAAGCAGGAGAGAGTTGGGGGTTGGTGGGCAATATTAGAGTTGGGTGCTTGGTAGTAGAAAGCATAGCTGCCAACAATGGATCATTTAAATCAGGAATAGATATGTTACTGGAATTGGACAGGTGTAGAGTAAGATTCAAAAACGTTACAGGAGAAAGCAGGGGTCGGGAGGGATTTGAAAACGAGAATATCAAGGCTTTAAACTCCCTTCTCTCTCCATTGTCTATGAACATGCTGTCACCACCAAAATTTGTGTTCACCCCTTTTACAATTCCACGTTTGAGTTTCTTCAGTCCAGTTTTCATCTGGCACAGCGTAAAACCTTCCCTAATCAATGAATGATTTTCTGTACGATTTTGCTGTGCTGCCTACAGTCACCATTCTTAATATGTAGACTGTCTTCGGCACCTCGACTAAACAATCCAACAACGTTGCCCTTCTGTTGTTCAGCTGAGTGGGACTGTCAGTCTTCTCTTTTGATTATTGTATAAACCCTGTATTATTAACTCTGTCCTTAGCCATCTTCCACTTTTCATCCATACGCTGCTCTTTGGCAACATCATAACAAGGTCATGACATTAGAGTCCACTTGTATGTTGAATACACCCA